GACCCCCTGACTTTCGATCGGATAATCCGACTCGGGCCTCATGTCCGGATCTCCCTCATGGTCCCGTAGATCCGTTCCTTATCTTTCTGGTTGATCGGTTTCACTCGGTTCCAGTCTCACGTGGGCGTTTCACTCCAGGCGCTATTTATCAAGGCCTTAGAAGCCCGTACACTGCCGCCTCACCGAGCAGAGCGCCTAGGCCCTGATTACCATGCTTGCAGATATCCGGCATTCCCTTCAAGGGTAGTCTCGTTGAGTAAGCCCGTGTTACCTGGGGAAACTGTAGACTAGACTAAAATAAAGTATAGACAAATCACACGAGCTGATTCGAACCAAAACAATGACTAGACAATCCCTTCCTCTGCTGTTTTCTCAAGAAGACTCTCTCAAATTACAGAATATGGCAGACGGCCTATCTGTCAGGATGGATACGATCCATAGATCCTCACATGATAAGAAATTAAGGAATTTACGCATTGACATCAATTCAAGGAATCGTAGAAACAATAAAGAGGTAGTTAAATTTAGTGAAAATTGTGCTAGCAAAAATAAAGTGGTCAATTTATCCAGTATACCTTTAAATGCTATTGTTAGGCTTCTCTTGAAAAGGGGTCTAAGCTATGCCTTTCCAAAGGAGCAAAATCATTCTATGGAGATACTGATTAAATTAATTAACTTAACGGACAAGCTGCCAGAAGAGGCTAAGAATAGTATAGAAAGATATGTGATCCCTCATTTTGATCAGGTAATTATTCCAAAGAATTCTTATGAATGGAATAATATTTCAAGATAAATGCACCAAAATGATCAGTTTGTAATGAAGGCAGATAAAGGCGGTGCAGTGGTCAGCATGGATAGACTAACCTATATAGCAAAAATTATGGCTCATTTAAATGACTCAAAAATGAACATACTTTAAGTGATGAATCCCACAGAAAATCTTAAGGCCAGACTTAGGGAGTCGCTTAACTTTTGTGTAAGCAAAGAAGAAATTAAAAAGTGAAAAATTAATTCACTTCTTTATAGGGATGATAGGGCACCTTCTGCTTACGGCCTTCCAAAAATACACAAAAATGGAGTCCTTTTATAATTAATTTTAAAT